GAATCACGCACTCACACACTCCGACCAGTCAATATGTATGCGTGTACGTGTGCGTTTAAAGTGTGTGCGCGCCCCTGATGTGGCGTGTAAATGTCGTATGTGCTGTGGCGTGGGTGGTCCGTGGGGTGGGTGGGTGCGTAGGCGTGCGTGCGTAGGCGTGCGTTAAATACGCTTACGTACGGTATGCCGTGTGTGTGCCAGTGTGCGTGTATGTGTGTCGCGCATGCCCCGTATCGTGTGGAATGGCCGTGCGTGCTCGCTGATGTGTGATGTGTGGTGCGGCGCGCCAGTGTGTGTGATGTGTGTATGCGCGCGTGTGTGTGATGCCCTGTGCTGTGTGAATTGTCTCAACGGAAATTTTGACGTTCAACAAAATGCCACTCCTGGGACACTCAAATCGCCGATTTCCCCCTGATCGAGAGATTCATGATCAGAGATTATTCGCGAATCCGGGAAATCGGGCGATTTGACCAGTCGCAGGGATCGATTTTGAAAACGTCAAAATGCGTTGAGAAAATTTTGGGGGGGGGAAGAAAAAATTGAATTAATATCCTTCAATCATACCTGACACGCTCAGCACTGACAGCGAGGTCAAACAGCGGGTGTTACAGATACGCCAGTGTGTTATACGCGCCTGCCCGCTAGGGCGTACGATGTACGCCGAAGTCATTGGCAAGCAGTATGGCATCGCTGTTTGTGCATAATTCCGATTTTTGTTTTTATGGTTGATTTTATCGGCATCATAACATTCGATTTTATCAAGGCATATAACATTGATTTATCACATATATCGATTCGATTTATCAAATATAACATTCGATTTAAATCACATATAAATGCGATTTATCGCATGATTATTTGATTTATTATCAGAAAAGAGAATTCGAATGATTCGATGCGTGAATCGAATGATTCGACTGCGTGAAGTCGAATGATTCGATGGCGTTGAATCGAATGCATGCATCGAAATGATTCGATTTCACCATCGAATGAATTCGATTTCACGCATCGCAGTGATTTCGATCACGCATTCGAATGATTCTGATTCAACTGCATCGAATGATGGGCAATCGAAATGCATTCGATGCGTGAATCAAATGATTCGATGCGTGAATCGAATGCTTCGATCGTGAATCGAATGATGCCTCAAATCATTCGAATTCGCGCATCGAATCATTCGATTCACCCGCATCGAGATGATTCGATGCGTGAATCGAATGATTCGATGGCGTGAGAATCGAATTGATTCGTGCGTGAATCGAATCAAATTCAAATGCGTTGAATCGAATGAAATGCATCGAATATTCGATGCACGCATCGAATGATTCGAATCTGAAATTTATACCTTTGCCCACGTTTCGAATTCTAGAGCCATCTATCAAAACTTATACAATACAGTCTACTTCCTCCACATTCTCCACTCTCCCTCTAGCTCCTCCGTTTCTTCTGGCGCCATCCTCTAACAATCCATGCCCTACTCAAAAATACTAAGAATAGATTGTAACATTATTATTTTTTTGATATAGTTTGTGTTATTGTATAAGTTGTTGATAGATGGCGGCTAGAATTCGGAAACGTGGCAAGGTATAAATTTCAGGATCGCATTCAATTCCCGAAATTGCGTGAATCGCGAATGATTCGATGCATTCATTCGATTCACGCATTGAATTGATTCGATTCACTGCATGAATCATTTCGATCACGCATCGAATCATTCGATTCACGCAATCGATCAATTCGATCACGAATCGAATGAATTCGATGCATCAATTGCGATGCGTGAATCGCGAATGCTTTCGATGCGCCGAATACGAATGATTCGATGCATCCATTCGAGTTCGACGCATCGAATCCTGTCGATTTCACGCATCGAATCATTCGATTACGCATCGAATATTCGATTCAGCATCAAATCATTCGATTGATGCATCGCGAATGATTCGACTTCATCCATACGAATGCTGCATTCGAATCATTCGATGCGTTAATCGAATCATTCGATGCGTGAATCGAATGATCGATGCGTGAATCGAAATGATTTGCGATGCGTGAATCGAATGATTCGATGCGTCGAATCGGAATGATTTCGATCCGTGAAATCGAAATGATGCATCGACTAATTCGATCTCACGGGCATCGAATGAATGCAATCGAATCATTCAATTCCACGGGCATCGAATAAATTTGAATCGAATTATGAAACAGAATACACACCATGAAAGCAGGGTTGTCGATTGATGTTACGGGCGATGATTGTTTCAATGTCTATGGCGGCGAATGCGAAAGCCGTGTGGGGTTTGTCTATATTCAGCCGCGGTACAGGAAGATAATTGCAATATTTATTTCACGTGGTTTGTGTTATATAACGCAAATCAGATTGTAATCCGTGGTGAAGAAGGAAGGGAGAAGCTGTTGGAGAAGGAGGAGGGAGAAGAGAAGGGTGGTGAGAAAGTGGCAGGGAGGTGCGCTATCTCCCTGGCACCACCTTCTGCCCTTCTCCACCACCCTTCACCACCACCTCGTTCCTCCCCGACGCACCTCCACTCCTTCTTCCACAGCTTTAATTCTCCTTCTTCCGCTTCTTCATTCTCCACCCAGCTTTCTCCCCCTTCCTCTCCACCAGCTTCTCCCTCCTCCTTCTCACCAACCTTTTCCCTTCTCGACCCTTCTCCTTCTCGCACAGCTTCTCACCCTCCTTCTTCCACTAGCCTTCTGCCCCCTCCTCACACCTTCTCCCCTTTCTCCTTCTCCTCCTTCTCCACACCAGCTTTCCTCCCGGCTCCTCTTTCTCCACCACCTTCCTCCCGCTTCCTCTCCTCACCATCTATCTTCACAGGCTGGAAAGTGAACGTCAGCGGAATCACGCGATTACATCTTGATTGGTTTATATACAACAAACCACGTGACGAAAATATGCAAAATTATCTCCTGTATCGGCCTGAATGATCGACAAACCGGCTGCCCGTGTGTGGAGCATGTTTTATGACTTGCGTAGGAGTGAGAGGCGCCATGGGAGGGGAGAACGAAAGTAAAAACGAAAACCGGTAAGCTCCCTCTTCCTATCATTTTATCCTATGAGGGGTTGATAATCTATGAAGGTCTGTAATTGATAAATTATTATGATTATTATTATATACTTATAATTAGTAAGGTTCTTAACGATTGAAAGGTCTGTCATTATGAACGCCCTGATCCTATCAACTGCAGATTGTTCATGATCAGGATAGTTACATACCCCTCATTTTGCTGGCGGAACTCCTATTTCTTATCCCTGGTATAGTGTACAATACGTTTGTAGTATTTTATTGAGAAATGCTGGATGTACAGGAAATACGATCTACCAAGAAATCAAGTAAGTCATGTGTTTTAGGAAGAATATATGAAGGTCTGAAAAGCATAAAAATCGATGACTTACTTACGCGTCTTTCACAGGCACTACACAGGTACACGAGGCACTTAGAGCGTTTCAATAAAATATAATGGCCTAAATAAATCTATTTTACTGTAACCAAAGTCTTACTGTTCTCTTACTTTCTATCACCTATTATTTGCCGACAATATCCTGTAAATGCCGTCCAAAATGCTTCATCTGCAAAACACTGTCACACGCTGGCCGCCGCACGCTAGCTGTGCACACTGACACATAAAATATATAGTTATTTTTATATATATACGTATATATATATTTAAAAAAAAAAATATATTTATATATATATACTATATATTTATAGCGTACTTGTGTGTTGCACCCAGATGAGCATTTGGCCGGCATTTACAGGTGATTATAGGCGAGATAGAGTAGAGAAACCATTAAGACATTGGAAGTAAATACATTTCGGTGTTTATTTGCCTTTTTTTTATTGAGATGTTCCAAGTGCCTGTGTTCGTCGACGCCGTGATCGCGTGTGATTCACGTACTGTGAATCTGTGATTGTACTGTGATTATCATGCGGATTTGGCAGTCTTAAAATTTGGTGCGGGTTTCCGATGAATGCCGAAGTTTCATCGGGCACATAAAAATTGCCTCCAAAAGTCACTTTACGATCGAAAAATCGCGTTCTAACGTAACGGGGAATGTATGTCGCGGGGAAAACGCCCAGAAGGGGCCCAGCTCGATTTCGGGTGAGCACACGCGGCACGGTTTTCGGAGCGAAGATACGAAAAACGACACTTCGGCTATTTCTACTATTATATAGTAGATGTAACACACATATATACCTTACTGACCTTACCTTAACTACCATTATGAATTTGTCTATAACATATGCGGCACCAGCCAATGTCCGCGCGGCACGGATCCCGATAGAGGAGCGTACGTCCCAGTGGGGGCGGGGGGGGGGGGGGTGTGAATGCCTGCCTGGTGAATAGAGGGCCACGAAATAATAACAAAGAGGTGTGATAAGAAGCCGTGGAAAACCAGGCTTAAAAAGGCTGATAAAGGGCTGGAAAATACCATGGTTTTTTGTGTTTTTTTTTAAAGGTTGTAAAATGGTAACGTTAGCGTACAGCCTCAATAATCCGAGGACAAACCAGCGCGCACACGATGCACCCATGCACACACACCCTACACCCACACCATCCACGACACACCTACACCCACACCCACATACACACCCAGCACTCCCCCACATGCCCATGCACACGTTCGTAAACATTCCCATGCAAACAATGCACAAACACATTGAAGGACAAAAATGTCACCATGTGTTGTGTACGGGGCGTTCGACAAATAGCTCAAGGACCGCCGTCTGTCCCAAACGAAATTAATGGCGTTTGTCTGGTAGTGGTTCGCATCGAGTTTACAGCTATGGCTGAAGTTCTGGCCCCCCTCCACACGCACGCACATACACATACACACGCACACGCATACGCACACGCACACGCACACCCAACCCACACGCCGACGGCACAACGCACACGCTACACCACACGCACCCAACCCGACACACGCACACACGCACGTACGCCGCACGCGCAGCGTGCGCCCCACACCACACGCCGCGCGCACGCACGACGCACGCCCCAACGCACACGCACGCGACGCACGCACACACACAGGCCACACACACATTCAGGGCATGCAGCACCACACACACGCGTTTGACGTTTTCTTTGGTATAATGTTATATTCAAAAAATGATGTACGCGATTGTTTTTTTAACATTATTGTTAATATACACAAATGCAGCACACAGTACTTGCACAGATATATACTTACTATTCATTTCGTTTATATCGTTGTATATTTGTTTGTTTTATTATTATTGACGATTATAGTACATGCGATGCGGTCTATACCACGGAAATATCAAAATATTTTTAAGTTATGATATAATTTGGAAAGATGCCGTTTTAACTGGTGATATCAACAGCAAGCAAAAGACTGTCCTGTAGGTGCACTCTTATCGTGATAGATCATGAACGTCTGAAGATTTACACAGGTTTTATATTATATATGTTTGTCTCTATGAAGAAGATTACAATAGATAGTCTGTCTAATATATGGATCTGTCTATGTCATAAACATATGCGTCTGTCTATATATATATTGATAGTTTGTCTATTATATTACTCCTGTAAATGTATGTGTATTAGCATTCATGTTCCTATTACGAAGTACAATCATTCGGATCAGTAATTATAATAATACACATAAATTGCTTTTCGATAAACGTTTTAGGAATTTATTTGAGCCAATGTTTATATTAAGCTAATTCTACATTCAGGTATTTATATAAATTCTACAAATTATTGGTAGAATTTCACGCTTTGTCCCGATATGGGGGTGAGATGTGAACATTTTGTTCTCAGCGCTTACTATATATTGCTTATGGAATGACGGTAAAATTGTAAAATATTTACACTATCATCAGCATTCTCTATTTTGAACGGAATTCCATGAGTCATGTCTGTACTCGAGCATCTACCTGAAAAAGGAAAACCATTCATGCGTAATGCACAATACTTGATAGCTTATGAGTACTTGTTGAGATAGACACAATTTAAACATCGTATATAGGATGGTTACTCTACTATTAAATATGTTAGCAGGTATATGCCCATAGCTTATTATGTAGCTTTCCGCGTCACGACCGTTGATTGGTATAAGCGATCGTACTTACGTATAGTGTCGATATCAAATCTTCTAGCCGTAATAACTTCCTCTGTAACCCTGTCCACCATAGCGGCCGTGTCCACCATAGTTGCGGCCGTATCCACCATAGTTGCGGCCGTATCCACCATAGTTGCGCCCGTATCCACCATAGTTGCGAGGCCCCTGATTGGTCGGCTGCTAGGAGACCCCTGATTGGTCGGCTGCTAGGATGCCCATGATTGGTCGGCTGCCACGAGGCCCCTGATTGGTCGGTTGCCACAAGGCCCCTGATTGGTCGGCTGCTAGGATGCCCCTGATTTGTCGGCTGCCACGAGGCCCCTGATTGGTCAGATGCCTCAAGGCCCCTGATTGGTCGGCTGCTTCGAGGCCCCTGATTCGTTGGCTGTTAAAAGGCTACTGATTGGTCGGCTGTTACGAAGCCCCTGTTTGGTCGGCTGCTAAGAGGCCCCTTATTGGTCGGCTGCTTCGAGGCCCCTGATTGGTTGGCTGCTAGGAGGCCCCTGATTGGTCGGCTGCTACAAGGCCCCTAATTGTTTGGCGGCTACGAGGCCTCTAATTGGTCGGCTGCTACGAGGCCCCTGATTGGTTGGCTGCTACGTGGTTCCTGATTGGTCGGCTGCTAGGAGGCCCCTAATTGGTCGGTTGCTAGAAGGCCCCTGATTGGTCGGCTGCTATGAGTCCCAGAATTGGTCGGCTGCTACGAAGCCCCTGATTGGCCAGCTGCTGCAAAGCCCCTGATTGGTCTTCTGCTGCTGCTTCTGCTCCATATACCGTAATAATATAATCAATATGTAATAAGTAAATGCATGGATTATAAATATTATAAGCCAAAACATGAAGAGTTTTACATTTTTGTTCAATAATTGGCGCTTTAATAGAAAACCATCAGGAACACAATTATTACGTATAAGTTACACATTTATAATGCCGGTTACATCTATGTGTTACGTTTGATATTAAATCATAATACAATTATTCTAATACAGCTTCCGAACAACAACTTAGATAACAATATTGTTTATATAACCTGTTTGCCTCCAAATAAATATTTTGACATATAGCACATATATCGCCCAATTAATATACTAGTCAAAGGCAAATCCCATTATTTTTGCCTATTGCACTGACTCATGCAACCATTTTTGCAATTTGAAGATATCTATACTGAATAAATTACTGCTGTAGTATCAGTATCGATACATTCGAATACTTTGAGCATTTTGTAACTTAATTGGATATATATTGTTGAAGTTGTAGCCAAAATCCGAAGAGTGGCATAATACAACACCTTCGCCAACAGGTGGCGCTGTTCGATTAGCACAATCAGAGCCGTATATAAAGATATTATATAGATCAGTGGTGGGCAAACTTTTCAAAGCGAGGGCCGCATCAGTGGGCCATGAAAAGTCAAAGGGCTGCACCTTCTAAAATCGGGCGGTGCGCTCTAAGATAATACGTGCGTTTTGCCTCAAGGGCGCCATCTCTGGACCATAATTAGCTGAAATGGCGTTGCAGAGCGAACCAGAGACAATAGAACACTAATCTGCATGACACTGAAAAAGTCTGTCTCGGTTCAAGCACAAACATGTTGACTTTCCAAAAAATTCATTGATTTAAAAAAAAAATTATTTTTTTTATTTTATTTGCTGCAGGCTTCCGCGGGCCGCACAGAGCTCAGTAGAGGGCCGCAGTTTGCCCACCCCTGATATAGATTATAGAGTCTCTATATACGGCTCTGAGCACAATGTCAGAAAATCCTTAGAAACGCATGTAGTACGTACCCGTGTGCAATGTTTCACAATTCTGCCCAAAGCGAAAAATTCATGTGCTTATGCATTTCGCCTTACTATACGGAGTGACTACCTGAGTGTCACCATCAGGCAGACACTGCCCTCGGTTACCTCCCAATGTATCTCGAACATGTGTCAGCAAATTGTCATTAACCTTTACAACGCAGACCGTCTGTCTATACGTGGACATAACTATATTTATACTTGTCCTTCAAGTTTTATCGTTATTGTTATTTACTTTGTTATTAGACCTACATTGTTGTTTACATTGCTATTAAAAATCTAGGAACGAATCTTTGCAATTCGGCCCTTCTCAACGAATGGCAGCTAGCTGCTCGCTTCCCATAAGTTCTATAACTAAATCCGAGGAAACGTGAGGCGGAATGACTAAATCTGACCGGACTGCTAGTGGCGCTCATATATAGGGTCTATGTCCCCCGGGGTACTGCCGGAACGTACCCTGGGTACGGTCCGGTATACCGGAACGTACCCTGGTCACTATTTGATATGGTTAGGGTTAGGATTAGGGTTAGGATTAGGGTGAGGGTTAGGGTTCGGGTTAGGGTTAAAAATTTTCAGGATATGTCAGAAATGGGGTAACTTAGAATTGATTACATTTTGGTCGTCATCCGGATCCAATTAATTATTTAATTAATTTATTAATTAATACAATTTTTTCACAATGACAGAATTCAGCTGCCTTGGTGCTCTTCAAAACTACTCAATGCATTTTGCTCTTTTTTTTAAGAATGTTACTTATTATTGATGCTTCTAACCAGAATGCTATTTTCAAAAATAAGTAAATAAGTGAAATTGTACTATAAAATCACCCCATTTCCTTTTTTTTTGAAAAATTGCATGTCATTTTAAGGTAAAATTTCAGATTTTATATATAATTAGATACCTTTTTTTAAAAACAAATATTGGTATATGACTCGAGTCTAAATATCAGTATTTTTCGTTTACTGTAAATATACATCCTCAAATAAAAGTGAGAGATAAATGGTTAAACCGCCATCCTCAAGTCAGACCCCACTCGAACCCGTCTGGAGGACGGGTAATAGCTAGTTAATATATAGTGACTCAATATATATTTATGTGTCAGTGTGCAGCAGCTAGCGTGCGGCGGCCAGCGTGTGACAGTGTTTTGCAGATGAGCATTTGGACGGCATTTACAGGATATTGTCGGCAATAATAGGTGAAAGAAAGTAGAGAAACATTAAGACTTTGGTAGTAAATAGATTTATTTAGCATTATATTTTATTGAAACGCTCTAAGTGCCTGTGTACCTGTGTAGTGCCTGTGAAGACGGCTTGAAGTAAGTCTCGATTTTTATGCTTTTCAACCTTCATAATTTTTTCCTAAACATGACTTACTTGATTTCTGGTAATCGTATTTCCTGTACATCCAGCATTTCTCAATAAAATACTACAAAGTATTGTACACTATACCAGGGATAGAAATAGGAGTCCGCAGCAAAATGAGGGTATGTAACTATCCTGATCTGAACAATCTGCGTTGATAGGATCAGGGGTTCATAATGACAGACCTTTCAATCGTTAAGACCTTACTAATTATAAGTATATAATAATCAATCATAATAATTTATAATTACAGACCTTCATAATTATCAACCCCTCATAGGATAAAATGATAGGAAGAGGGAGCTACCGGTTTTCGTTTTACTTTCGTTCTCCCCTCCCAGGCGCCTGTCACTCCTACGCAGTCATAAACATGCTCCACACACGGCAGGGTTTGTCGATATTCAGGCCGGTACAGGAGATAATTTGCATATTTTGTCACGTGGTTTGTGTTATAACCAATCAGATGTAATCGCGTGTTCGTGACGTTACTTCCAGCTGTGAAGAAGATGGTGAAGGAGGAGGAAGGGGAGAAGGTGGTGGAGAAAGAGGAGGGGAGAAGCTGGTGGAGAAGGAGGAGAGGAGAAGGGAGAAGGTGGTGGAGGAGCCCTAGCTGTAGTCTCTAATATGCCGGACCGTACCTCGCCTACTCCACTCTACGATCTCGAGTGTCGCCTACCGCCGTACTCCCTAACCCTAACCTCAACCGCTAACCCTAATCCTAACGCCTAACCCTAACCAATCAAATAGTGACCAAGGGTAGCGTTGCGCGGTAATACCGGACCGTACCCAGGGTACGTTCCGGCAGTACCGGCCCGGGGACATAGACCCTATATATAGAGCGCCACTGAGCAGTCCGGTCCAGATTTAAGTCATTCCGGCTCACGTTTCCTCGATTTAGTATAGAACTATGGGAAGCGAGCAGCTAGCTGCCATTCGTTGAGAAGGGCCGAATTGCAAGATTCGTTCCTAGATTTTTAATAGCAATGTAAACAACAATGTAGGTCTAATAACAAGAGTAAATAACAATAACGATAAAACTGAAGGACAAGTATAAATATAGTTATGTCCACGTATAGACAGACGGTCTGCGTTGTAAAAGGTTAATGACAATTTGCTGACACAATGTTGAGATACATTGGGAGGTAACCGAGGCAGTGTCTGCCTGATGGTGACACTCAGGTAGTCACTCCGTATAGTAAGGCGAAATGCATAAGCACATGAATTTTCGCTTTGGGCAGAATTGTGAAACATTGCACACGGGTACGTAGGCTACTACATGCGTTTCTAAGGATTTTCTGACATTGTGCTCAGAGCCGTATATAGAGACTCTATAATCTATATCAGGGGTGGGCAAACTGCGGCCCTCTACGGAGCTCATGTGGCGGCCGCGGAAAGCCTGCAGCAAATAAAATAAAAAAAATAAAAATTTTTTTAAATCAATGAATTTTTTTGGAAAGTCAACATGTTTGTGCTTGAACCGAGACCAGACTTTTTCAGTGTCATGCAGATTAGTGTTCTATTGTCTCTGGTTCGCTCTGTCAACGCCATATTCAGCTAATTAAGGTCCAGAGATGGCGCCCTTGAGGCAAAACGCACGTATTTATCTTAGAGCGCACCGCCCGATTTTAAAAGGTGCAGCCCTTTGACTTTTCATGGCCCACTGATGCGGCCCTCGCTTTGAAAAGTTTGCCCACCACTGATTCTATATAATATCTTTATATACGGCTCTGATTGTGCTAATCGAACAGCGCCAATCTGTTTGGCGAAGTGTGTATGTAATGCCACTCTCGGATTTGGCTACCAACTTCAACAATATATATCCAATTAAGTTACAAAATGCTCAAAAGTATTCGAATGTATCGATACTGATACTACAGCAGTAATTTATTCAGTATAGATATCTTCAAATTGCAAAAATGGTTGCATGAGTCAGTGCAATAGGCAAAAATAATGGGATTTGCCTTGACTAGTATATATTAATTGGGCGATATATGTGCTATATGTCAAAATATTTATTTGGAGGCAAACAGGTTATATAAACATATTGTTATCTAAGTTGTTGTTCGGAGCTGTATTAGAATAATTGTATTATGATTTAATATCAAACGTAACACATTAGATGTAACCGCATTATAAATGTGTAAGCTTATACGTAATAATTGTGTTCCTGATGGTTTTTCTATTAAGGCGCCAATTATTGAACAAAAATGTAAAACTCTTCATGTTTGGCTTATAATATTTATAATCCAATGCATTTACTTATTACATATTGATTATATTATCATCGGTATATGGAGCAGAAGCAGGAGCAGAAGACCAATCAGGGGCTTTGCAGCAGCTGGCCAATCAGGGGCTTCGTAGAGCCGCCGACAATTCTGGGACTCCATAGCAGCCGACCAATCAGGGGGCCTTCTAGCAACCGACCAAATCAGGGGCTGCCCTAGCAGGCCGACCAATCAGGAACCACGTAGCAGCCAACCATCAGGGCTCGTAGCAGCGCACCAACTAGAGGCCTCGTGCCTGCCAAACAATTAGGGCCTTGTAGGCAGCCGACCAATCAGGGGCTCCTAGCAGCCAACCAATCAGGGGGCCTCGAAGCAGCCGACACAATAAGGGGCCTCTTAGCAGCGACCAACAGGGCTTCGTAACAGCCGACCAAATCAGTAGCCTTTAACAGCCAACGAATCAGGGGCCTCGAAGCAAGCCGACCAATCAGGGGCCTTGAGGGCATCTGACCAATCAGGGGCCTCGTGGCAGCCGACAAATCAGGGGCATCCTAGCAGCCGACCAATCAGGGGCCCTTGTGGCCAACCGACCATCAGGGGCCTCGTGGCAGCCGACCAATCATGGCACCTAGCAGCCGACGCATCGGGGCTCCTAGCCAGCCGACCAATCTAGGGGCCTCGTGGCAGCCGACCAATCAGGAACCTCCTAGCAGCCGACCAATCAGGAGCCTCGTGGCAGCTGACCAATCAGGGGCCTTAAAGCAGCTGACCAATCAGGGGCCCCGAAGTAGCTGACCAATCAGGGCCTCGAAGCAGCCGACCAATCAGGAGCCTCCTAGCAGCCGGACCAATCATGGAGCCATCCTAGCAGCCGACCCAATCCTAGAGATCCTAAGTC